TCCAATCAATCGTTGTCAGTTCTGCGCTCTCCTACCAATGACATGGTAATAATGTGATGGTCAAAGTGCCAATTGCATGATTTACAATGCTCAAAAATTATATTTTTTTCATTTGGGACAATTTATTTATACTTATTTCACAAAATGAGGAATTTATATTTGAGTTCAAAAACAAGGATTCAACAAAGACTCAACATTTCTAAAATATACCTAATTTTTCTATACCACACCCTTTTATTAAGGGCTGATTAGCCAGTAGAAACTATCACCCACTTTCCAAAACATAACATTCAGTAAAATATAAATAATTCATTCATCATTAGTATTATTATAAGATTATTAATTTAATTGTACTATGTCAATTGGCCAGTGCTTAGCAACTTAAATTTATATTTTATACATAAAATTATATATCACCTTTTTAGCGGTTTCTTTTAAAACATTTAGAGACATTGATTCATTTTCAGTAACAGTTGTTACTAGTTCCTTTTCCTGTGACATAAAAGAATATTAATATTAATATAGCTAATAGAAACTGCAACTCATTTTCTAAATTATGACTGTATACTGTATAGTGTATACATTCAATGTAAATCAGTAATTTACASTAGACATTATTCATTAAATAATATGTATGTGTATGAGCTTTTTTTAACAATATTTCTGTTCTATTTTATTTTCTAATAAAACATTTTAATAATTAATTTAAATGTTTCAATTACATCCAAATTAAACATCAATATTATCAACCTAGATATATTTTTCAACTTATATTAGTATCAACCAACTATACTCTGTTCAAAATAAGAAACGACTGCGGCKGCAACCAGTTTTCGTTGGGCAGCTGTTAGGAAACACCCGCTTATCATCCCGCCCAGTCAACTATCTGTATATCTAGCTGTGTTATACTGCCACGCCCATGCGCAGTAGCTGGCCGCCGCAGTCAATTCTTATTTTGAACAGAGTATAGGAATAAATAAATTAGTGATCAGTAACTCATTTAATTAGAACAAAGTATGATTGATTRAAGTTTCTAATAAACTTATTTTTTTAAATGAAACCTAAATTTTTAATAGAATAGTTAAATTATATTTAACAGCCTCTTGAAAATGTTAATAATTCTGAATCAAACTGTTTTAGCTAAAAAAAAATACATATTATATAAATGATGTAATATTATCAGTAAAAAGCAAAAATTATAATATATTTTCAAAATATGTGAATATTAATAATAATTAAATACATGCCTAATGAATACACAACTTTACCATACTCTTCTAAATTATTGTAGTAGTTATCATTTATCAATTATCCCTAAAACCCCAAATTACATGGTCTATTTTTAATGAATTCTATAAGATTCTTTAAATTAAGCGATGAGTAAAGAATACTAGTATACAATTAATTAATAATTAGGCCTATCCAAATTGATTTATTTTGAGAATTTATTTAATTGTTAATCAAACCAAACAATCATAAAATATTAAATAATTAATATTTAAYAAATAATATTTGAATTAATATTCAAATATTTCATTATACTCTAAAGTTAGGAACATTCTAAGTGCCCAMTACAGACTTATCATATATTATAAAATTAATTTTACAAATATTTAAAATAAATACYTGGTTTTGGACAACAGCATGTTTGATTGATGGTTGATCTTGTTTCTTCTTTAAAACAATATAGCTATCACCTACAAAATTTAGATTATAATGAATTAATATCTTTAGCTATCATGGGATAAACAACAATATACTTCTTGTAAGCACTTGTAAACACAATTAAAAATTAAAAATTGAAATAATTTACAAATTTATTGGATCTAATTAATGAGAAAAATAGTTAATAAAGAGGAAATTTACTTATTGTCTTATTTGCAGAGACGAATATTTTAATACGCTCTAATATTAATARTAAATAATCTAAAATAGAAATCCGGGATGTAGATATACTATATCGCTAAAATGTTATGTTATCTATTTGTTAAACAAAGATAACATATACATATGAGTACAACATCCTCTTAAAAGGATGTTAACCTGCATGTGTAAATCCATTCTTACTAAAGCATAAGTCAGCATAACATCACAATTTTACATTTACAGAAATATATTTACCCTTAAATTAAAATATTAGAATGAATCAAACATAATGAAATTTAAAAGTCAGAATACTATATTAATATTATCCATAGCCTTAGACAGTTTTTAMYTTTTATATTTTCATGTTGACGCAATGAGCATTTAAATATTTCTTAAATATTTACAATTTAAAATGCATAATAATATAAAATTCTTACCTTTAGATCTTATAGTATATCAATTCATTCTAA